AAGTTCACGATAAAAAAAGGAAAGGAAAGAAGAAAAACATCTACCCTTACACTATCGATAAGAAATTATAAACCTATTCAGATGTTCGTAATTCTTCACGATCTGCGCCAAGTTGTTTCTGAAGTCTTCGACCGTTTTTACTCTGCCTAGATCGTCGGAAAGATTATTCAGTCTTTCTCATAAATTTTGGAACTGACTGCAGACGTGAAGCACCAACATGGAAATGAAACTGTTATTACCGGTGTAGGACACTCGTGCTGTAAATCGACAGGATCTGACATATGCAAATCAGCTCGAAGACCGGACTTCTGGTGATGCTGGAGGGAAAATAGGCTGTGGCATCATGGGACGAGTGGAATCGCTTCGCTATATCCTGAGATCCATCATTGAGATTCTAAGCACTAGATACTGCTTACTTGATAAGGGGCAAAAACTCTGATCGCGCAAAGATGAACGAGTATACGTTTACCTCGTTGCACGTGGTAGAAGAGCGGACATTATCATTTAATCACTTAATAAATAAGATACGGAACATAGCAACATAATAATAGAAAGTACATTACAATATTGTTAAGCAAGGACAAATAAATGGCTGTATTGTTGCGCAAGAAGGTATATTTTACCGGTAAAAGTAAAAAAATTGTAGGCAGTGCGTATGAAAAACCTATTTGTTCATTAATCGTAAAAGTTAAAAGTCATTTGTTGATCAGTTATGCAGTATTTGTATCAGCATCCTTTCTAATTTGCGTTATTTTTATTGATCCTTCATTGTCAGCAAGGCAGATAAGTATCCCATTGATGTCTTCACCACCTAAACAAAATAAAAGTAATGAGAAATGAACACTTCTATTGTCATGTACAGTAATAATAGGTAATCGCATCGAATATAATGTAAGATACAAACTCAGGACGCATTTTTCTTTTGAAGTAACAACTTAACGATTTGTTACTTGTTAAAAAATGGTAACGACATTTAATATAATTGTTACTTTTACTTTTTACTGTTACTTTGTACATATAGAAGATACTGCTTGTCACAATTTTCATGTGTTGGTACAGCAGTCGCCAATTATATCAACATGAACGAAACAATAATACGTAACAAGTTGATGGAAAAAGTAACAGAAATTTTAACCAATGGCTGCACTTTGACAATTATGATAACGAGTTATTTTATTGGTAAAGTATGAATTACTTCTAAAAAATAACTTTTCCAAACTTAATATAAATTATAACTAAATAAGATAAAATAACAAGAAAATTATACAATATATATTTTAAGAAGAGGAATTTATTGTATGTAAAAATTGGTTGGAAAACGCTATATTTTTTTGCGGACATCTCACCGCTCCGAATAACTCCAATGAGAAGACCGCGAATTTTCCAGCTGTCAGTTTAAGAGGAATCATAGATCGATGTATGATAAACATCAAGTCCTTCGCATCCTTCGACGGCAAATCGTACCATTTGCATTCGTATACGCCGTACGCCATTCCGGTACTCTGTAAGTTAGATTCCAACATCATACAAGTCATCATTAAAGTGTATAATTTATTATTTACCTCTGCCAAAAGTCTTTCAGCTGAATAGCAATAAGTGTATAAAGGTGCCAACACGTATGAAACATAAGACACGAGGAAAGCCAGCTTGATCTTAGATGCTTCTGCGTTTTTATCGGTTATTTTCTGAAAATAATGAAATTCTGAAATGACCCCTAAACACTTTCAATAGTTAAACATGATAACTCAGTTTAGCATAAATCATAGGCTTTTGTATAATATATTAGACTACCATCAGATATACTCGATCTCGATAATTCTTTCCGTCATATTTTGGAAAGACAAGCTATAGAATATTAAAAAGAGGAAGAATAATTTATAAAAAGCTAAATGCTATTTCCTTTACTGACTTCGACATTCAAGTATGCTACAAATCGTAGGCATGACAAAAACTTATTCATTAAAGTACAATAATATTACACAAGCAAAAATATTGTTCTGTTTTGTTAAACTTCACAATAATGATAAACGCGGAATCTGAAATAAACATATGATAGTACCTTTTCGGAACATAATCGCTATCTTCATCACCTCGCATCAGTTTTTCGGCAGTATATCTATAGATGTTAGTAGTCTAATATATTATATAAAGAGAGGCTTATGGTATAGATATAATATTATAATATAATAGAAATTACATTTTTTTTTAAATAGACATTATTAAACAATTACTGTTCATATATATTTATATATATTTAAGAATATAATGATTTATATATGTTAGGTGCTATGAGACGCTTACTTATGAGACATTCAAAGATCGTAGACAAAACGCATATGTGCTGTTATACTTACTGTAAAAATCTGAAATGTTTCGAAACACAGCTGAAAAGTGGCAGCCACCATGTGTATAAACAACACCGCACTGTAGCAGTTATCGATTGTTTTTGCGTGCCTTTAAAATGCATTATTTATTTGCTAAATAATATCAAATAGAAATACCAGAGTAGAAATTTAATTTCGTGAGCGTCTAACATCGTTATTAGATAGTATAATATAATTATTCTTATGGTCTAGATAGTTCATTTTTCTTAGAGTCTAGATAGATAAATTAATTGATGCCTAGCCACATAGAAATCATAGTTGTAAAAAGTAAAATCATAATGACAATATAATATTTGCTTTTCACTTTTGCTCTTTTAAGATTTTTATGAAATAAAATAATCACACTTTTGATTTGCTACATAATTTAAAAATACTAGTGTCTTATTATATATTATATACGATAGCAACATTATATATTTTAAAATTTACAACACCATCTACACTGACATATTTGACTTTGTAATGGCTAGACAGCGTCTATATTACCAATCCTACATTTCAATGAATAATAAACGAGCGAACTAATATAATCGTATGCATCATCGAAATAAATGTCTCTAAGTGTTGCATAAACGTTTCTCAACGTTAAATTGCAAATGCATCATTGGAAGAAGTTTTTCGACATACCTGATGAGATCCCTGTGTCGCATAACGATTGCTGTCAGACGCTTCTTGAATTTCGAAGATGATATGGATTTGTTGGCCATTTCATCAACCAGCTTGTTGAGTGTCAACCGTAGATTTATCAGCTGTGCGCACACATGCAGCAGAAGTATTGAGACGAAGCTATCGATAGTGCAATTGGTGAAAACTGTATACGTGCCACCAACGAGTTGAATGAAAAAAGTGATCTCGTAGTTCGGACTCTTTTGAATGCTATAGGGATAGGTGAAATGATAGACGAGTCTTCGTTGCGGCTGGTGAAGGTTTCGAAAGAATCTCAAGAGGTTAAAACATATGTAAAACGAGATCGTGCACGTGGCGCTAATGTAACATTTAAAAGAGAGGCTTCTTCCACGCTTCGCCATCTTCATCATCGTAGCCCGTTCGCGCTTACTCTTCGTGGTAGCCCAGTCGGTCATGATCGATGACATCAGCGATTGAAGTGCTTCCAAATCACAAACACATTGTATTAATACAAATATGAATTATCAAAGACGTACATGTATGAAGAACGCTCAATGATGGCTGTAAACGCGACATTCATATTTTTAAATATACTGACATAAAAGATTACTAAACGCGCGAAAAATTAATAATAATTTTACTAAATGATTGTAAATAATGTAATATTCTATAAAATATTTTATCAGAAATATATGTTTCATCATAATTGATAACAATAAATAATAATAATAACAACAATGTTAATAATAATATTAATATAATAATAATAAATCAATAAGTTCATAGGAATTTTTATAAGAAATTCATAGCCAATATATTCATAGTTACAAGACACAACGTTATTCAATATATTGGCTGTTTTTTCAATGGAAGATCGTCATCGGTAAAAAAAACGAAAAAATTGAATTATATTTAATTACAAAAGTGTTAACTTCCAATTATCCGTAAAAATCCTGATGAACTTATCAAACAACTCAATATTTATAGAATTTTATTGATGTAAACAAAGCTGTAACTTACTTTTGCCGTGATATCGAGTAACAGCTAATTTGCAGAACGCCATCACGCTTAAATTTGCGGCGGCGATTTGCTCTACCATTACTGTCACGTTACCCCAAGCACGAATCGTATTTATTATTTGCGGCAGGAACACATAAAGGCTTATAATTGACAGAACAATCGTGAATCTCAATTTTCGGCGAAAATCGTTCAAAGAAATATGTGGATCGGGCCAAGTGCCTAGTATTCGCAAACATTGGCGACTTAAGGCAAACGCGTAATTCAGTTCTAAGATAATGAAATTTCAGAAGAAATATTATCTCTTTGTATTATTTACGATCTATATGATTACACAAACACATATACACATACACAAGGAATGAATGTGAAAATTGGCAAACAGTAAATAAGGTTTTCGATTATTCTGGACGTTACATTGGGACGGCAACAAAGAACGATTCGCGGACGCTTAATTTTATGCGACTAGCCCAACTTTGTTGTCCACACTTTTGAGCGATCTGTATTTCGAAAGAGACTTTTTGCTAGCGTACAGAACTGAAATGACAGAAACTTAATATTTCTTAAACGAATATATTAAACATATTATTTAAAATATTATTTAAATCTTCTCGTTTAAAAAAAAAGATAAATAAACATTGCTGTTATATAAGTAATGACTGATAGTGATTATAATTGTGATTGTGATTGGATAAAAAGAGTAATTTGTTCTTAATACTTTGTTGCAGACGCTCATAAAAAGCATGCTATATCGTAAGCAGTCTATTGATTCATAGAACTTTATACTTCCACGATGTTTTGTAAGAGTTGATATAGAAGTTTATTTTAGTTCTGTGTGTTAGCAAAAAATGTGCAGCATATAGATTGATTACAGCGTTTTTGCATGACAAGCAAAGGTCAGTTGCTATTTTTTGCGACATATTGAACTTTGGTACGCAAAAGGGCTCTAGTCAGTCCATATATCGAAAGTGAATATTTTTTGCTAACACACGGAACTGAAGGAAACTTTCATGCCAACTTTTATGGAGATACGAAGTTGTACATGACGGATTTATAGACTACTTACGACATAGCATGTTTTTTGTAGTTCTATAACAAAGGAAAATTATATCTTTTATCAAATAATTACTAGTATCAACTATATAAAAGAAACGTTTCCTTAAACACCTTTAACGAGTCTCCTTAAACGAAAAGGACATAAAATGTAAAAGGACATGTTACATAAAAAACACTTTGAACATTTTCAATAAATTCATTTGATAGATGTTCTTTTCTGCATTGTATTGTCTTCGAGTAATTAATGAAAATTAATTTTTATAATCAATACAAATATAATAATGCTCCCTGATACTTCCCAAAATAGTATATAACATCTGAACACGCCACTATCCGTTATTATTGCATAACTCAATATAAAGTTATGTAATATAAGCTGAACTAAAGTATCAAAATTTTATGATTAATGAAATATATAATAAATGTACTGACAACACATATCTTTCCTGATGCAAAGATTAACACGCCACATTGAAAACGAATTATTTGTTAATTTATATTTCTTTAGATTTAATATTACGTTTATCATTACGCGAACTGTAATGGTTATTTGTAATGATTATTTTCAGCGATGTATAAACCAAAATGAAAATTTTTCATTAACACACTTGTAATCACATAATCGCATGGTTCATGTATCGCATTGTATCACATTATTTCACGATGACATTATGCAATTTTAATAAAACTTTATGATAGAAACTTTTTACTCTTTGTATTCTGAAACAGATTCTACCTTTGTTGACACTCATTGAAGCTCGCAGGACGAAAATTATCGTCTGACTGAGACGCTCTTTACGATTCAGTCAAACGGCGGTTTTGCGCTTGCTCAGTGCAGAAAGGATTTAATCACTATCATCTGCGTGCTCCCTTTATAAACCCCTTTAGGTGAAAATCGATAGTAAAATACGACAATAACGAAACGAATTGTGCGCAATCGCCATACGTTAAGAGGATGCTGAATACCGACAATTTCGTAGTTCTCACTATTCTTCCATACGGCTGCATAGAATTGCAAATGCTTTTACAGAATGAAAGTATATATGCTAATGCATGGAGATCCGCCCAGTATAACATAAAAAAAAATTAATATTTATGTTACATGTGTCAAGTATAGCAGACACTGCACCATATTTTCATTTCATACGTAGAAATGTAAGTACGTACAAAATAAGACCGCATCTCCATGCAGGGGTCATTAATGAACATTACAAGGCCGCCAGATTATGAGTTTTGAAAGGTTAAATAAAAAAAAATTATTAAAACTACAATTAGGTCGCACGCGTGCAGACGTATATCTGAACAATAGGATAAAGAAGAGCGGTATGTAGTTTCAACCTTGTCCGTTAGATGTCTGATCTTCACAGCACGAAGCGAATATATGGACAGTGCGTTGCATCGCACGCACACGTTCATAAACGCTGTTTCCAACTGTTCGGTTTGATGGTGAGTAATGACTCAATAATACGAAATACCGTTCGTTTTGGCACTTTAGTGAACAGAACAACCTCAAGATGGTAAATGAGACGTTATTATTTGTTATTTATATAATTACAAAGTGTTTAAATTAATTGATGCCTTAGGACATATACATATATATATCCCACGGGCACTACTGGAAATATATAATATGAACCCCATATTATCGCTTTCTATGAAAAATTATGAATGTGTATGCAGAAAATGGATATCCTTGTAGACGACTATATAAAATACAATGAGCCTGGCATATTACGATTTGGAGTTATAGGTCGAAAAATTCGTGAGAAAATACGCGAAATAGTAAAAGTAGTGAAAATTAACTGCGCGCGCCCAGCGTATACATATTCTCGCGTGTTGACTCGCATATACGCTGGACGCTGTATCATATTTACATTTTATACGAAAAATTTAGAGTGCTTGGATGAAAAATGGAAGCAGCTTTCCATAAATGCAATATTAGAAAACTTTATAAGAAGGTCGGATTACTATTTGGAGATGTACGTAAAAAGAATAGTGAAAACTACGAATGGATTGCGCGCGTTGTAGCATATACATTGTATAGCGTGTAGTACATATGTACCATACGCTATACAACGAATACGGTGGGCACGTGCAGTGAATTCGTAGTTTCCACTAATTTTTCAACGTACAACTCCAAATGGTAATCTGACGGTTTTATAAAGTCTTGTAGTATTGCCTGTATGGAGATCTGTTACCATTTTCCATGCAAATACTCTGAATTTTTAAAAAATAATGGGAATATTATAAAACGCGCAGCATGTATATCACACGCTATACAACGTACGCTATACGCTACAACGCGCGCAGACCATTCGTAGTTTTCACTACGTAGTTTTCTTTTTACGTACATCTTCGAATCGTAATCAGACCTTCTTATAAAGTTCTCTAATGTTGCATTTATGGAACTCTGCTTCCATTTTTCATCCAAGTACTCTAAATTTTTCATATAAAATGTAAATATGATACAGCGTCCAGCGTATATACTGCACGCGAGAATACGTATACCCTGGGCGCGCGCAGTCAATTTTCACTACTTTTATTATTTCGCGTATTTTCTCACGAATTTTTCGACCTACAACTCCAAATCGTAATCTGCCAGGCTCATTGTATTCTGTATAGTCGCCTACAAGGATATCCACTCTCATTTTCTGCATACACACTCATAATTTTTCATAGAAAGCGATAATATGGGATTCATATTATATATTTCCAGTAATGCCGGTGGGATATATGTATATGTCCTAAGGCATCAATTAATTCAAACACTTTGTAATTATATAAATAACAAATAATAACGTCTCATTTACCATCTTGAGGTTGTTCTGTTCACTAAAGTGCCAAAACGAACGGTATTTCGTATTATTGAGTCATTACTCACCATCAAACCGAACAGTTGGAAACAGCGTTTATGAACGTGTGCGTGCGATGCAATGCACTGTCCATATATTCGCTTCGTGCCTGTGAAGATCAGACATCTAACGGACAAGGTTGAAACTACATACCGCTCTTCTTTATCCTATGGTTCAGATATACGTCTGCACTCGTGCGACCTAATCGTAGTTTTAATTTTTTTTTTTTATTTAACTCATAATCTTTCAACTCATAATCTTTCAACTCATAATCTTTTTTTTATTTAACTCATAATCTTTCAACTCATAATCTGGCGGCCTTGTAATGTTCATTAATGACCCCTGCATGGAGATGCGGTCTTATTTTGTACGTACGTACTTACATTTCTTCATATGAAATGAAAATATGGTGCAGTGTCTGCTATACTTGACACATGTAAGATAAATATTAATTTTTTTTTATGTTATACTGGGCGGATCTCCATGTATTAGCATATATACTTTCATTCTGTAAAAGCATTTGCAATTCTATGCAGCCGTCTGGAAGAATAGTGAGAACTACGAAAGCTACGTTATTATCGGTATTCAGCATCCCCTTAAGTCAGATTTTGCGAACATAGCTTGCTGTTCGACTATAGGCGAGTTGCTTATTCAATGAGCGTTTTCGTTCGTTAATACCGTTTTCGTTCGTTAATACCTGGTTCTTTATATCTTACTGTTCCTTAAACTAAAGAAAGATGTCATTGAAGCAAGTCTCAAACACAATGCATGTTCAAAGGCAATGCATGTTTCTCTATTTAAAAAAAAGACCAAAACTATAAGGATATCCTAGATTACGTGAGAATTGATAATTTTACTTAAGTCTCGACGAAATTACTGGAATCGCGAATGAAATATATAATCGATTGCAAAACGATTTAAATACATTGAAATTGGGAATTCACTAAATGTCAAAATTGATAGACATTATGATAGACGATAGGCGTAATAATATAATTAATAAAAATAAATAACACAATTAATAAATAATAGTAATACTTAATAACATAATTACTATGAAAATGTATAATGTTTAAACATAAATTGCACAATTTGCTGATGAAAAAAGTTATTGCGCAAAGTGTGGCAGTTTATTTATATAAATTATTCATAAAAGGGTTCAATATGTAGCGCGCGTTTGAAAAAATGTCTAATATCATAAAAAATATTTATTACTTACATACACGAAATGTCATACGTGTACAAAAAGGCAGAAATCAATATATTTTCGTAAGAAACATACTGACGGTGACTTCGCTTGTAAATTAATAAGTTTCGTGTACTTTTTTTTAATCGCTTCTAATTTCCAACATCGAGCTCAATTGTGCTTGATTTAGGCACACGAAACACTTTATTGAAACGGAATGCATTGTTCGGTAGAGGAGACCGGGATCAGATGGTATATTTTTCAGATTTCTGAAATTACAACTTCTCACACAACTAATTGTTATGATTATTTCTAGAAACATAATGGAGACAACGTTTCTTTGTGTTTTTATGTTCGTAACTATTCTCTCTCTAAACTATATATTTCTCTTCTATAATAACTAAAACTCGAACAGAATGTATCCATCTTGTTCTCGTATCGGATTTATTATAAGTTGGCTGGCAACTTATAGTAAGAAGGTCATATATAAAATATTGTTTGATTGTTTGTTATATTGGACGACAGAAAGGCTTGACCATCATATATCAAGTATCATCATATATAATTTGCCAACATATTTAGTAGTTCTGAGATTAGTAGTTCTAAAGTCTCCACGAGAGGTTTACCACTTAGCCTTTAAATAACGAACAATTTTATTTAGTTCATCTATATTCTTGATTTAATTTTATGAATGAAAATTGCTTTTATTACCCGAAAGAGTAAATCATACACTTGCAGAGAACTTAATTTTAAATAATAACACGTCATTTATTTTATTTGCTCACGATAGAGAATATTAATACCAAATTTCAGCATTCTCAAAAATGTACTTGGTTACTTTTAAATCAATTTTTTCAATTTTTATAATTATAACTGTAATATTATTCCGATTTTAATGAAATTCAGGTGAAGGTACTTAAGTTCTAAAGAGTACATGTTGCAATATCGTTTCAACTATTTCTCTCATGACAAATACATAAATAAAACACATAGCTGACATATTCCTTGGGTCAACTAAACCCGGTCTCCACTATTAACATAAGGTGAAGTTGGCGGAAGCAGTTAGCGGAAGTGTTCACTGAATAATTATTGTACATCACTACAATACGGTGAACTCAGAAGTTGCAGCAAATGACTCAATCGACCTTCCGCCAAAACTTTCATTTTTTCCCCTAAATTCTACATATATATATATGTACGTATATATATGTATATATATATATATATATATGTATGTGTATATATGTGTATATATATATATATATATATATATATATATATTATATATATATATATAAGTATATATATATATATATATATAGAGAGAGAAATGTATATATATATATATATATATATATATATATATATATATACTTTATCATCTAAATAGTACGAATGCACATTAAATAATGTCGCCTCGATGGCAAGTATGTACAGTTTCGGCTCGATGCCGATTCGACGAGAACATGTTATAGTTCATGAAATCGTTGCGTATACGAATGAACGAAGCGTAGAAAATGCTCTCCTTCGGATTTTTAGTAGAAATTTCTCATCTTGACTTCGTTAACATCTACAACATCTGTACGCGAGTAGCTAAGTTGAAAATCGCAATTGTATGTGAGAGTCAACGAAAGTCCAAGGTGCAGCTACAAGTGTGTAACGAAATTAACAAATAAAACGTGGAATTAACCATCACAAAGCAATAAAATTCGAATCTGCCTCATACTTCCTTTAGTATCAAATAGAAAAATTAGAACAACACTGCCCAAAACTACGTAATATAAGTCGATATTATTTTATTCGATACTGAAGAAGATTCGTATTGCTATCGAAATGTTTAATGCTTTATGCGATATAAAAACTACACTACACGTATACTACACGGAGAAGGAAGTTTAATTGAGTTAACTTGAACATGAATAAACCGCACGTGTTTCGGTTGAAAGAAACAGAATTGCCGTAGATTTTATAAATTATATTCGATTTTAAGAACCAGAAATTCTGTTTCCTTTAATCAAAACGCCTTTGATTCGTTCATTGTCAGGTTAATTCGCCCAAACACCTTTTCCTCCCATGTATTTATTAATTAAATCACGTACTTATATACTGAGAAAAAAATACTTGGAAATTTATTTATTGGATATAAAATTTACTTCCGTGAAATAAAGTTTATTTCTGTGAAATTTTATTCTGTAAAATAAACTTTATTTCTGTGAAAATGCTTTATATCCCCTATAAATAAATCATCAAGTATTTTCTTTCTCAGTGTATAACTATATCTCATGTTATGCCGCTTAAATTTTCGATTGTACATCCAAGATCCTTCGTTTAGTTGATGTTGAAAATCGTTGCCGCGTGCCTAGAAGAAGATGTTCCCCGGTCTCGCCTGCGGACACAGGAAGCTAGAACAGTCGTGTCTCCTGATGGCCTGCATGACCTCTTCGAAGTGGCTGGACACGTGAACAGTTGCTCCCGGCTGGATTCTGCAAGTGCAAGTGCGCAAGACGCCATTGATTAGTTAGCAAAAGGATCAACTCGGGGAGGGTCGTTAGAAAGCCGGAGACATACTTCGACAAATGATCGATACCGTACGCGGCTAATTGCTAATTACATGTTCACTGGATCATGAATTCTCTAATCCCCCGGCATTCCTCAGTGCGTTCCATTAACGATTTCTCGCTCCGATTAACTCGCTTTCTTTAGGACGCACCTGAAGACCCGACTCAAGGATACCAGCGACTCGACGGAAAACTGGCAGATCGGTGCTCTATTGGATTACGTGAAGCGTAGAGAGAAAGAGAGGGAAGGAGAACGCGAAGAACCGGAAACGGCTTACTCGAGTCGACTAACCGAGACGCTGATAAAAATTCCGTCGGGGAATCGGAGTCGACCGGAATTTCGTACGATTAGAGAAAACTGGAAAGACGAATGGGGCGCTAAGTGAATTATCACGTCGGCTACGCGCGAGTTTTCCATTAACGAGTCTGCTTTTTTCTCATCCTTCCTCCCTCCCATCATTCTCCCCCCCTCTCAGTTTATCTCGTTCTATCTGTCTGTTTGTACTCCTCATCTCTTTCTTCAGCTTTTTCTTTTTCTATCACACACGTGGGTAGCGCGATAGCAGACAGAGCGCAGCGTGTGCATACACAGTGAAACTGTGCTAAGAGGTAAAAGTCGAATCAGTCAGTAGGACGTCGCCGGCGAAAGCTGGAAGAAAGTTATCCGCATTTGGCTATAGTTCCGTCCGGCCGGCTGTTATCGGTATTGCCGGCTCGGCTACTCGACATGTTCGATAGTTGAGGGGACTTGGTGAGAGCAGGACGCGACTGGTCCTTCTTTCGAAGCGAAATAAGCCAAAAAGATGACGAGACGAGAGTACTCACAGTCTCAGTAGCGAAGCCATTTTTTTTTCCATGAACATCGCGGCGTCGGGTCCTCTTTGCACCATCGTGTCGCAGAATATCCTCTTTGCGCAAGGTGTGTTCGTCCAGTCGCCTTGAACGTGAGCGACCTCGGCCACCTCCGCGTTCTCCAAGTTCTGCAGCGCGTCCTCCAGTTCATGGTCGCGCTCGACGCTTCGCTTTCGCCGCCTGTTGTGGTCCGTATCGATCGTTCCGGCCGACCCCTGCGCGACCTCTCCGCCGTTTGCCGTTCCTTTCGCGAGATTACGTTTGAGAATCCGCGACGTATCTCCCAGCAACGAGAGAGCGTCATCGATCTCTTGGCCTAATCTACGTTGTCTGCCGTCTCTCGTCAACGAGAGTACTAAGGCCGCATTCCGCGAGTCATCAACACCGTCTCTGGCACTATTCTCCAATGTGTTCTGTTGATCTGACACATCCAAGCCGTGATTTCCCGAAGGGACTTTCGCCGAGCTGTCCTCTACGACTAGAATGGTGTTCTTACTCGCATCTCGCTCCTTGTTCCTCCTCGGGAGCAAGAACTCGGTGATGTCGATGGGTCCTTGGTCGGGCAAGTCAATCTCCACAATTTCACTGATGGAATCAGCGCCTTTCCGCTGGAAGCGCTTGCTGCGCACGAGATTCCTCGTGTCGGTCTCTGCTCTGAAGATGTCGAGGTAGTCGAGGCTCCTCCTCCTGCGTCCACTAGTCTCCACGTAGTCCTTCTCGTCCACCAACTGCCTGCTATCTCGATTCTCTACCCTCTCAGCGTTCTGTCTATCCTCCTCGAGAATCAAGAAGACCCCGTCGCTTTCCACTGAACTCGCACCTTCGTCCTCCACTTTGTCATCACGTGTTGGTACGTTCTGCAAAACGTACAGAGTCTGTGGTGTGGCTTCGTTTAGCCTCGCGTTCCTCTCCGTGATAACCCTCAAGTTCGTTCCGGCTGCTTCCAAGGCTCGCTTGTGCTCCAGATCGATGTCATCCGTGGTGGAACGCTTCAGAACATCCACGTCGAGATATCGACCAACCGCCACCGCGCCAATGCCGAGCGCAGCACCGGACGCGACGAGACCCAGAGCCGGTATCAGAATGCTAGTGCCCGACGTCACCGTGCCGATCTTGTCCTGAGCCTCTTTGCCCTTAGACAGGCCGAGATTCTGCGAGATCTTGTGGGTGGCCTCCACCAGCGGATCGATCACCGGCCTGGTGAACTGTGAGACCCGCTCGACGCCAGTGGAGAACTGGTTCTTCAGGTTCTCCGAGATCTTCACCCAGAAGGGTGGCTCGTTCGGCCGCTTGAGCCCGTAGAAGTACTGGTTCGGATAGTAGTTCTTCGTGGTATAACTGTCCACGATGTTCTTATCGTTCAGCACGTATTTCTTCTTGTGACGCTGCTCAGTGAAGGAGTGCTGATTCTCTGGGAAGTTGTCCGGCCGGCGTTTCTCGTTCTTCAGGATTTTAGCCGGCTGTACGCCTAACTCAGGATGAGCATACTGGAGAACTGGCGCTCGTGCGCCCGGTTTCAAGGCCACGGGTGCGATTGTCTGGCTACTGGGGGTGTAACGCTGCGAGATAGGGTAGTTTGCGATGCTGTCCGGGTGTAGCATCCGCTTGTGAACACTTGCGCGGTACTGATCATTGCGCGTCTCATACACCTCCGCATTCAGAGCTTCGTTTTTGTAGTTTCTCGGATCCCACTCGAAGTAAACATTACGGCCTTCCTCGTCGTAGTTGCGCCCGTACCTGATGGGCAATGAAAAGCGAAATTACGTCATCTTATAAGGAAATATGTGGAAGTGTCTCTACTGATTTTGATGAACTTTGGAGATATATATAAAATTATTAAAAATAAGAAATTCTTTTGTATTTACTTCCTCACACGTCGAAGCAACTCCTTAAAGGAAATTCGATTAAATTGATTGCCAATAAATGTCTTCGAAACTGTGAGGTATATGAAAACTGTTTTTGACCAAAGGTTTGTAGTATTTGATTCTTTTGGTAACTATGTATTTAGATTTCGCAAAAGTGCCACTTTTTACATTTAATAACATTTTGTTTTTTTAATAATTTTTTAATGACTTTTTTAAAAATCTAAATGCGATTTGTTATTGAACAAATTTTTATTTAAAACATTTCTTCATTTATCTTATTGCAATTTTTAGTTTCTTAAGTATATCATTTTTTAACATGCCCTAACTCTCTCATATGATGCTTTTGAGATGTGGCAAAACTAATATATTAAATATCATAAAGTTTCTTCTCTGAAACATTTTTTTAAAAACCTTTTATATATATTACAGTTTCGAATATATTCGTTTCGATCAATTTTAATGAAATATTTGTGTGTCAAATAGTAAACAATTAAAATGTTTGAATCTAAAACTTCAAAACACATAAATAAAACACCAAAATAATTTTTTTTTTCAAATTTCCTTCGCAGAATTATTTTATCCTTCAATAGAAAGCCCAATGGAATCATTTTAACTCCTTTAAGATCTATTTGTTATCGCCATTTTGTGGTTTAGAAAAAATCTTCGTTAACTTTTTATTATTTTTAAAGTAAAAGCACTGAAGAATTATCGGAAAAGATCAATGATATTACAATTAATTATTTCATAATTTATTTTGGGTTCTCTCTCTCTCTCTCTCTCTCTCTCTCTCTCTCTCTCTCTCTCTCTCTCTCAAAAACATCATTTTGGTCATTTATTTAATTATAATATTATAAGAACAATGCACACAAAACAATACTATTATTTGAAACTTTAATTTTTTAATCCCGATTAGATTTGTATTTTATTATGTGTCTGTGTTCACCACAGCTTTTTTGTACAAGAAGAAAATATTGAGGTAAAAATTACAGTAAAATTTTTGTGATCTTGGACCAAATAGAATAATGATCTAAAATTACTATATATTAACATAATTTAACATTGTTTTGCATATTTGACTTTTTGTTATTTATTATAATTACTTGAATATTTTTTATATCGTATATCAAATAATTGGTCAGCTTTATTATTTTTATAGTAATTTGTATTGCAACTTCACTATAGTCCAATTTTACAAAAAATATAAAAGAAGTAAAATTTTAAAGTAATTTTTGCTATTTTCTCCAATATTTTCTCTATATATTAATTATAGAGCATATGTAAGTAATAGTTATAATGCATATGTTACTGTAGGAAATTATAAATTTGTAGAAATTATTATAATTTGTTTACAATATATAAAAGATTTGTGTTTTACAAATTATATTTTTAGCATGTACACAAATCATCATTGATACAAGTAATAAGGAACAGAGAAATTTAAAGTATTAGGATCGCAAAGAATCAGAATGACTCTTTCGGGCACTCAAAGGAGGTTGTCGTTTCCGGAGTTTCATTTTCTACTGTTAAATATACGATAAAACAAAAATATATAAAAGCTCATGTTTAGCAGGTTTCCGACATGTCCAAAGCTTATGAATAGTGAAAGGCACTACCACATGTTTCTTTTCTACGAAATATTCATCAGGCAATTTCTTATCTCTCCTTACCTTCGATTGACATCTTTGAAGAATTTCTCGAACCTCAGCTTCTTCTCCGCACTGTCACTGGAATACGGGATTCCGACGGTGGGCTCGACGGTGGTCGTCGGGCTATTCTCGGCTATCAACTTGTTGTTGATAACCCGAGCGTTCCGCCAGGTCTGTACTTGGTCTATGGGCTCGTCGGGCACCCTCGTGCCATGGATCACCGGTGTGCCATCGTTGTCCAACGACATAGCGGATCTCTTTGGCACCGCCTTTACATTGATCTCCGATCTGACGATTACTTCTGGCGGCACGGCCTTGCCGTCTCGGTTCTTCGACAAGTTCGCGCCGATGTTCGTTCTCGTCACCGGTCGAGACTGATTCGGCACGTACGTGTAATAAAGAGCCCGTTCGTTCTTGCCGCCATGATCCTCGAAGTTTCTCTGAGTTCGATCCTGGAAGTGCCGGGCGAGCAGGATTCCACCGGCGAATCCGGCCTCGTTGAACTTGTCGTAGCTCGTTCTGTCCTCGCTATCAGTTCCCGGGGTCGTCTGCAGCGGTTTCCAATTTCGATACTCCTCCACTTCCTTGTCTTCCTCATCTTTCGCTTGTTCCTGCTTCAAAGCTCTGCCGTCCACGTCTAACGGCGTCCAATTTCCGTAATCGATCAGACTGGCGGGTTGATTTCTGTCCACATGACTGACGTCGACCTTGTCATCCTTTGTTTCGGAGGATTTGGAGAATGTCGCTCTGATCTGCTCCACTTGGGCCTCCTCGAGTCTCCTGACTTCGTTCTTCTTCTTGGCGTCGTTTCCATCGTCGTCCAGCTTTGAGAAGTCGTTTTTTTTCTCCACAGTGGGGCTCGATTCTTCCTGAGAAGGTTTCAGTGTCAGCTTCGAATCGTTGAAGCTGATTGACGATTTGTCTCGTCGCTTTACGATCAGAGTGGCGAGGTTTCCCTCGCTCGTGCGGACTTTAAGTTCCTCTGTCTCGCCCGGGAGACTGCGAGAGACCTTCAGTATCGTACGGGTGTAGCTCGGTCTCGGCAGCTCGCCATCGCACGTGCCCAACGCCAAGATCGCGAGAAACAGAAGCAAAGTAGTCTGAAATCGAAACGAATTCAGCTGCTTGAGATTTACTTGGACATGTGGAAATCGCGACGCATTCTCGAGTGCCAACCTGCATTATCGGGTTACTTTGTCGACATGAGGCGACACGCATCGCTTCGAAGGTGCATTGCGCGTCGTAACTCTTGCGCGTGTATATGCATCCGATATTGCGTACATACGTGATTGCGGCTGGGTGATCGAAGTGCAAACGTAGGCGCTCGGCATGCGAAATGAGCTTGAAAAGGTTTTCGAAAGTCGGCCTTACGAGTTTCTAGAAACACGCAGTATTCACCAGCAATCTCTGCGTGCATACTTATTTAGATTCGTAGCGACGTAAGAAAGAGTATGCGACGCTAACATGAAAGGACAGAGGATTGAAACGCTCGTGAAGAAACATTGCATGAGATAAACGTCCCGATAACTAATGAGGAAATACAGTCAGTTTTCAGCATTCTTATTAATAAATAAATGGTGAAATTGCAAAGAAAGTTAACATTTATATATAGAACCTTTGTCGATCGATAAATAATAAAAAATAAAATAATCAATAAATATTTAATTATTTATTGATTATTTTATTATATTATATTTTATAATTTTAATGAAATATATCAGATAATGTGCTAAATGTATTAGTAATTAAATTTAAAAATAAATCATGTCTTAACTATAATTCAAATAATTATTGAACAATACAGACTTAGTAACTGTATGATCATTAAATAATATTACAAATTGGCATATAAAGAAATATCTTTTAACGAAATTTTAAAAACTAACTTAGAATTTTAAAAACTAATTTAGAAATATTATATACAAATATATTTTTAATGTTTCAACTTTTAATCATTAGGACAAGGTTTAATTATTGGAATGTTTATTTTAGTCCGTAAAAATATCAATTAAGGTAGTCGTGTCATGAGATGAATTTCGTGAAAATTTGATGAAACTTGCTCTACATATAAAGTGAAATGTTATCGAACTACTCGTGCAAGAAAAAGTGTTAGAAGAAGATTGATCATTAGAAAGCTGAGATATTTATAACTAAATTTGATACTTTTTACTCGTATTTCTTGAAGCTAGCTTTTAACTTCTATTTTTAATGTTTTGTAAATTTACATGAAAGATTTTTTATTTAACAAACTATTATGATATTAAATATTAATATACAGACATTATATAATGATTCTAGAATTATTCATTATTTTATTTTTAAAATACAATGAGAAGAACCAAACTGTCAAAGTTGAAAGTCATTATTAACGAGCATAATTATGTCACTAATTATTATTAATAATACTAACTATTATTTTTTATTATTATTAATTATATTATCACTGCGAAAACTCGCAGGTAATTACTCAGTTTTGGTAATTTGTTAAACATCATTATGTCTAAACCATTTCGCAACTATACAATCAATAGAAAAGAATAAATAAACTTATAAATACTAGCATTAAGTTGATAACAAATTAAATAAACATAAACATAAACAAACATAAACATAAATATAAACATAAATAAATATAAACAAACTAAAAACTTGTGAGACTTAAGAGAATGTCATACTTGAAAATTTTCCTGACAAAATGGTGATTTTATCTGTAAGATTTACGTGGTAGTGCTTGCACTGGATTAGAAATGCTTTCATACGATAAAAGTACGTGCAAAAATGAATTAAAACGTTGCTCAATATATGACAAAAACGATACAAAATTTTAAAATTGACATTCCAGTCTTCATCATATCAGTTAGCCTAAATATTTACCTGATACAAAAGTACTACAGCTTCGTAGTACTTCGCTCGAAAAAATTTTGAAGAACATTATTGTATCTTTACAACGGAATTTAGTAGTTTAGAAATACACAAACAGTTCACAAAAAGATTTCTACATATATGTGGTTAGATTCTCCGCTAAATAAAACAAAGTTAAACAAATCTCATATATATGAGATCTATATGTACAAGAAACACACGAAATGAGCAGCGTGATCGTATGTGAGTGCTTGTCTGTAATGTCTTTTTCGACATGTCATTTAGAGTTGATCATCCACTTTGTGTGTGGCATAACATCAACGATTGCAAATCGACTGTTTACGAGCTGGTGACGCGTTCATTCTTTCTCTCGCATTGAAATCTCTACAAATTACGCTGGAGATCAATGAAATCTTGCTGTGTCAGCCACTCAGGTCCAAGATTCTGCGTGAACTATCGGCCGACTTCTCGAAGGAAAGCGTGGAACTTCTCAATTTTTACAAATTCGCGAGTTGGTTTCATCTGTACATTGAGAGAAAAGTCTATGATCAAAGGTTAACACAAACAGGTTAACGGATACACGTTGCGATGAAACGATCAATTTGATCGGGTGGTCCTGATCGGATATATTGCTTGAACGGAAAATCCGTCCGTTAATACTTGAATCTTCCTCTCAGTGTACGTGTGTTTGAGTCTAATTGACTTTGTAATTCTGTTAATTGTTAGAAAGGGATCCGAATTGTGACCGGAACTAACGTCGGCTCTAACGTTGCCTCTTATAAACTCACTTATTTTTACTTTCCGGCTCGGAGAAATCGCCAAGCACTTGGCCACAAGAATTTCGCAACTCGGCGACCACGCGCCGCTGTCGTCGCATCTGATTTTCGCGAAGTGCATCGATGCGTCACGGCATTCGTAACGGACGAATCGGCCGTGTCATCGGAGAGACAATAGCAGAGTCGTGCGGCGCTCGCACGACGAGAGAAATTTAATAGCTCGTGGAAAATTGCCGGCATTCTTTCCCGCGATTAGAAAATAGCAATGCAGTAACCGAGCGACGGGTTACTTTCTATTACCAAAGTGACGATTAAGTGACCTGATGGTGAATTACGCGCTCGCCCGTCCCACGTACGATCGTGAACGCGATCGATCGCCCCGTCGCGTGAATTCTCTCAAATTATACACGCGCGCTTCGGAGCGTAACTTTGGACATATCGAGCGACCAAGGTCCTCATTAACGGGAAATCCGCGGCGCCATGGTCTCCTGCCTCATCTCCTCGTGTCTCCCCCATGACGGGGAAAGAAATACTTTCTAATCGTTTATACGTATGTACGTGCGCGCGTTCTCAGGAGCAAAAAGCCGGTAAAATGAAATAAAATCATGAAAGGTAGCTGGACCGCGAACACGCTCCGCCAAGTGAAATGGAACGACATGCTTTCCCCGCGCGCGCGTTTTGTACGAAACACGCGCGCGTTCCTGAACTCTTCTACTCGGCCGCGATGCGTACCTGTGCGTGCGCGCTCACACTCACGCACTCATACGCGCACGCGCGCGCGAGTAAATGTGTGCGCGCGGTGCACGAGACGATCCACTTTTTCCATCTCGGTGACTTTCGATCACCGATTGTCAACTATCATCGATGCCTGACACAATAACGAAGCGAACGGAGAGCCGCTCCTTCATGCGCGCGCGTCGTCGACTCGTTAGGAAATTTCGACGGCAGAAGAGCGGAGTCGATCGCTCGAAAGTCGCTCGACTTCAACGGAAATTGAATCGCCGATCGTTTCCGACGGTGTTTTCTCACTCGCATTAATCATATTCTCGTACTTAACGAATAATCAACTCGCACATTGCATATTTGCGACAAAAGCGTAGTAAGCAGAAAGTAACTATTTCTAGGCCTATTTCAAGAAGTACTCCCGGAAATTGATTAATCCAATGGGAGATTAATATTGGAGACTTGCAAAAATCGTCGCATTTCTTGCAATATTTCTTTTATCAATAATAATGAAACAGCACAGTACATTGTGCCATGTACAATCAAAATGACACCGTTATCCATCATTATCCGCAGGTAATTTCTGCAGGCTTGGGTGTAAGTTAATTCTTTTTAATCAGGTTTAAAGTTAATGGCTTATGGGAAATTAACTTGGGTTAAAGTTACATATTTAAAAACTGACTTAATTAAAAGCTATGTTACAATTAAATTAACTTATTAAAATTAACAGATAATTATGCAAAGTAATATGTACGCTTTTTGATAATTAATTTTTTAATTGTAAATTAAGTTTATATGAAATTATATGCAAAAAGGTTCTCTTTTACAAGAAGATATTGTGCTTTTTACTAAGAATTTCATACAAAATAAAGAAAAACTGGTGTCCAAAGAGACGAAGAAAATGTGTTGATTATTTTTTATTATTCTTCATTTTTCTTATCCTATATTGTAAACAGCTGGCAATGATTTTTATATTAATTAATTATTTAACTTATGTATAAAAAAGTTAATAAGTTAAAGTTAATGCATTTTAAAATAACTACGCGAAGAAAATACTATAGCAAAAATTGCAACAAAATGTTTGTAATCTTAAAGTATATAGAATTATAACTGACATTAATAAATATTTATTTAAAAATGTTATGCGTGTTTGACTTTTTATTACAAAACTTGTAATTATTTGAATGTTTTTTTTTATATCAAATATTAGGTAGAACATCAAATTTACTATTTCTATATATATAGTAGTCTATATATATATATATATATAAAAATTTCAATATCCAACTTTACAAAAAATAGTATAAAAAAAAATACAATTTTAATGTAACTTTTACTACAATATATCTTCCAGGTACTTTACCCGGAAAATCAAAAGTTAACCTACTGACTAAATTAAGTTAAACCAAATTAATAACTTTTTAACTTAAATTCTAATTGATTAACTAGTTATCAGTTCACCCTGGTATTTTCTATTTTTCAGATAACTCCATGTCTGCCAAACGACATTCTTTAATGAATGAAATCATTGGCGATTCGATAAATTTCCACGAACCCTCAATAAGTAATAAATAATTTTGTAATTCCCCCGATAAATCAAATTGTTGCGCGACAGGGCTATTGATGTTAGACAATCGTCAATTCGAACTAGTGGATATTCAATCCGGAATTGTTTCTCGATTATACACATCACTTGCTATTATGTAAAATAGCATTTTAAAGATTTCTCTCACTTTCTCCCTCTGCCCCCTTTCTCCCCCTAGCTTCCCCTCTCTCTCTCTCTCTCTCTCTCTCTCTCTCTCTCTCTCT